ATCCGTGTTCCCGAAATCGTCGACGAAAATTTGTATCCGAGCACACACACATACATCCATATTTTCTAAAGTGTGCCAAAATATTCAGAAACCGCTGAAACATAAAATTATGTTTTATGCCCTACGGCAAGTCAATAATCATTCAAGTCCTAGTTTTTATCATATCTTCATTATTATAAATCGTTACGAAATTAAAATGCGATAAATTTATAGAGTTACATAGAACTAAATTGAAGTTCTCATATTTTTGTACGCGTTTTATTTTTCATTCAAAGTTTGCCATAAGATAAAGCAAATTAAATCAGTGGTTCAGTCATTTTAAAATTTTATAGTTACAATTCTTCACTTTTTATTTTATTCAAAATAATTTATAAATTGATATCTATTCAATTCAAATGTTGTTTGTAGAAGACGAGTCAAAATTTAATGTTTGCTAACACACACACATATGTATGTATATATATATATATATATATATATATATATATATTAGTAAATTGCACGTTATTTATTTTACTAAATAATATGCATAAATATCCGTTCCTGTACAAATTACCCATGATGGGAGCGTATGCAGTATTGCTTAACATTGCTTGTGAAATAAATCTTTCTTTCAATAGTAAGAGAAATTCCAATTCGTGCTCGTGTTTGTATTCTCATTACCTACTTACAAGTATTTTATTGAATAATATTATGAACTGAAACAGCGAAGAAAGTGCGTTCATAATAATTAACACGCACGTTTGAATAATACAGATTCTTAAGATATTCTATTTATTCGTATGAAGAATAATGGATAATTTCGTTTCAATGAGATTAAAACTTGACGACTTTCGATATTTTTTTAAATTATCTATGTAATCTAAAATAGCAATATCGTGACAATTCTATTTATTAAGCCACGATAGACTATTATTATATTTCAGATAATTTATATAAATATTTGTTTTTAGCCTTTTTGAAACACTGTGCTAAAAATAAATTATTAAAGGCGTACCAAAATGCAGCCGATAATTAAAATGTTATCTCTAAACTTTTCGCTATCAAAGTGCTTGATTTTGAAAACAAGATAAAAACTCGGAACAAGTTTTTAAATATTTGCTAATATTTTTCACAATGATATACATTTGTTGTACATACTATAAAATTTCACTATATTATTAAACTTAACTCTTTCCACTCGCGAATTGCAGATTTAATACGTATTTGCCAGAGCGGCGGCATACGAGTGGAAAGGGTTAAATTATTCAATTGCTTTTTATTTTAAAAATCTCGTGATATTTTAATTTCAAAATAATTATTTTTACAGTGGTACGGCTGTTTGTATAAGATATTCTTATCTAACGATTTTCAATAGTTTTAGTCATGGAAATAAATTAAAGCTTTGATTGAGATCATAATCAAATGATGTCTTGTTATTGAATCATGTATTTACTACATAATGAAAAAAATAATATCATTCTATAAAATAAATATACTTTATATTTTAAATATATAAATTGTGTCGACAGAAAGTTCACTGACACTATAATAAGTCACCTGCTATGCGATTTTAAATGTTTGTGAAAATATCACATAATTTGTCACAATTATTTTTGCCTTTAAACTTTTAATATGGTTAGAAATAAACTGGTACAATTGCAGTTTTGGTATAGCTTACTTGATATCCATATGTGTATATTTAACATGCAATATTGGTTTAATATTGATATTGATACCACCATCTGATCAAATATCACACATCTTGCTTTCGCAATGTGTTACGGCGCAATTTTGATATGTCTTTTGCAGGGCCATATAAAAAAATATTAGAACTAGTCTTTTTTAGAAATTAATGTTAAAGTTAATTATATGTCTGGTCTTTAAAGTTTCGAAGTAATATAAGTATTTACTAGAGCAACTGAAATTGAATACTAACCAAATTAAACAAACACTAATCAAATTTATTATTTCTACTTATCTAAATATTAACGATTGTAAATGGATATAATATTAAATCATATTAAATGTTCAATCATTTAGTCGACGTATTTATTTCGCTGCTTTCTATGTAAATTTTGTATATAATTAGTGTTAATAACATTTTACTGAATTTATGCTATTCTCCACTGCAATATTTGGACGAGAAGATATATTTAACTTCCCGTAGGTAATGGCAACAATATTGAAAATGAAAATTTTTATATACGTTTACGTTTCAAATGTTTGTGAACATTTTGAACAGACGCGCTTCGATATTTTATCTCTAAAATAGATACGCAGCGCGATTGCTTTGAAAACAAGTTCAATATTTTCAACAATTTCAAAATATAAAAATCAAATTAATTTTTTTCAAAAATTTCAAAATCCGCATAAATATAATTAAATCCAAAAAAGTTTTAACATATTGTGAAAAAAATAATTTTCAGTACGAGAAGTTCCAGCAGCCACGGTGACACGATGCCATGCGCCACTAGTTCAAATTTTAATTAAATTATATTACAGTAGAAACTGTATTAATCGGACTAATTGTTGGCGATAGGCGTTCGCATAATCGAAAGTCCGGATAATTGAATGTATAAATTATAATGTTGTGTATTTATTAGAAGTAAGAAATACATACATAGCTATCAACGAAAATAATGCTCATTAAGAAATTAAAACGTCCTTATGTATCTAAATATATTGTCTTGTTAGATTATATTACATACATATACTAAGCTGCAGCATTAATCATGCAAAAATTTGAATTGTTGATATGTACATACATTGAAGTTGGTCGCGGTTGGTAGTCCGGATAATGGCGAATCCGTATAACCGAGGGCCGGATAAATGAGGTTCTACTGAATATAAAAGAATATATTAAAAAATGGTAAATTCATAATTTTCGTAGACACAGATACCTAAAAGTAAAATACTGTTTGGCGAAGAATTAAATGGTTTCAAAATTTAACTTAGATATTGATGATAATTTAATTAGGTCCATTGATAATAATTGATTTAATATAATGATAATGATAAAGCTAGCAAATGAATGAATTTTCAAATAATTTTAAAGATGCCAATTGCACAGGTTGTTTTTATCGGAATTTTCACGTAATAACGTACAGCATTCGAACATATAAATGCATAATCAGCTCGGATGAGAGAAACCGAACAACCGCAGCTTTCCAATCGCGCGTCAAATGCTGTTTATCGCATGCGTGTGTGCCGCCTTCAAATCATCTCCATTCGCACATTGCGTCATTCGAAAAGACAAATGCAGTGATTTGATTCAAATCGAATTAACTAGTTGTAAGTGGCATTTTGCCTTAAGGCAAGTTGCATGCACTTCCCGATACGTACCTATACATAAGCAACCTAATGAATAAGATTCATCCATTTAGGTAAAATGTTCAACTATTATTTCGTTTATTTCGTTAATTTCGACAAAACATCAACGAAAGGTCAAAAATCGATTCGCATACCCACACACACACATAATTTTTTCAAATTTGGTCTCATTTGATTCAAAATGATTTGAAACATCACGTAAAAATGCCATTGCAAATAATTCTATTAGCTTCATAGATTAATTTCCAATTTTCATTATATCTTCATTTGATAACAAACAGTTTATAGTATCATATCATATGTAGAATTAACTATTGAATAATAAACAATTAAAATAATTAATTAACAATCCTAAATAAAACGAATAGTTTTAATACAAAACATATATTGAGATTGTTCCAGACAAAGGGATCATATGTAGCGATCTTTACGGCATCATTCATGGTTTTATGATCATGGCTAACTAACTGAAACTGCATATATACTGCAGTAGTTACATGCGATTAATTCAGCTTCAGATATTAACATTCCAAAGTAATTAAAATTTTTAAATTTATTAATTTGTAATATTTAAAAACTTTAATGTTTTTCATAATTCGTTACTCTCAAACATATATATATATATATATATATATATATATATATATATATGATAATATTTATTTGATTGGGTTGCAAAATATTTCAAATATGTATCAACGTCGACAAAGCTATCATCATATTACAACTAGGCCTTCAAAGAATCAAGTTTTTTCTCCACAACATCATTTCACAAAAACTATCATATATATTATCATATATATATATATATATATATATATATATATATATATATATATATATATATATATATATATATATATATATATATATTAGGGTTGTCCATAATACGGACACTTTCGAATTTCCGTGCTCCCAAGATCTCAAATGGTTCCAAATGGATAAAAAACAATTCTTTGAAAGTTTTAGCTCTTAATATTGTCTTTTAGATAGAGCGCAAATCAATCAAAGTTTTGTATGGAAATAGCATGAAAAAAAATTCAAAAATTTTGCAGAGCGTCGAATTTTCAATAAAAAATGGCACGAATTTTCACCTTTATTTCATTTGTCGCTAAGTTATAACTAAAAATTTTTTTTTTAATTTTCAAAATTTTTTCTATGCTATTTCCATACGAAGTTTGATTAAATTGCGCACTATTTAAAAGTTAATATTTGGAGCTAAAACTTTCAGAGAATTCTTTTTTATTAATTTGGTACCATTTGAGCCCTTGGGAGCAAAGAAATTCAAATATGTCCAAATTAAGGACCACCCTAATATATATATATATATATATATATATATATATATATATATATATATATATATATATATATATATTACAATAATATTTATCAATCAAGTACATTTTTCAATTTGAACTGATGTGTATCTCGTGAATAATATGCTTTGGTAGAAAATATCCTCAAAATTAACAAATATTAACATAAACTATTTGATAATTTTTCGACGTGCTGACATAAATAATCTTTTAGTTTTCCAATTTGATGCAAAATAATAAGATCAATCACATTTGAAATTTGAAAAAAAAATCACTTAAATTGATTAAGGTTGATAGTGTAATATGTAATACACCATTTATATGCTATATAATAAATTAGTACTAAGTTAGTGATTCTTTGTTTTTTAGCTTCATCGAACAAGATCGTGTAAGCGGCTTTTGGACATGGTTGTTCGTGCTGTCTAAACTCCCCGAGTTGGGCGACACTTTGTTCATAGTTTTGCGCAAGCAACCGCTAATCTTCCTACACTGGTATCATCACATAACCGTTTTACTTTATTCCTGGTTCTCCTACACCGAATATACTTCAAGTGCAAGATGGTTTATTGTGATGAACTACTGTGTGCATTCCGTCATGTATTCATACTTCGCACTTCGCAGTTTACGTTTGGCTCCACCCAGGTGATTGGACATTAATTTTATTCATAGGAAGTAGGAAGTTATTGACAGCATAGTGCAGTAAACGTTTATAGGAGCGTTTTAGGTCTGAATTTTTTTACGGTGCTCCGAATTGAATGAAATTGGAAAATGGAAAATTTTTTTTTTATAAAATCGTGAGTTTTCTGAACATAGTTTGTACTAAAGTAATGAATCTGCTAGAATCCATCAAGATGTCTATAATGAAGTGAATTCTAGATGGAATGTGAATTACTCTAATTCTGGTGGAAATGGCGCTCATTAAACCATATGATTTAAAAGAAAAAAACTTCGTATATGCTTCTTATTTGCACGATAGCTCACTCATTTTACACGCAAAAAACTTGTAACAGCACTCATTTTAAAGCTTATGTTGAGCACTATAAAACCCAATTTCACCGAAATGCATAAAATGTAAAACCTCGACACTAGATGGCTTTAAATACAACAATTAAATCTTGAACGAAATAAAAAACGACTTTGCTCTTTCAAATCTTGCTTAATATTTTTCCTAGAACACTTTATGTAATACCGATTTATTAAAATTTTTATTGACATTATTTTGTTCATAACATGATTTTCGTTAAAATATATATTTTAGGAGATATTTGCAAAAAAACGAAGAAAAACACCAAAAATATATGAATATTTAGTGGCCAGTAACTTGAAAAGTATTAGTTTTTTTGAAAAACTATAGAAGACATTTTTTTCTTATAAATAGTTCTTCTATCGATTTCCGACGTTATTTTGAAAAAATGTAATTACACAATTGAGAGGGGGTGTCATCCCCCTGGGGGGTGATGGCGCAACCCGAATTGTTTTCACTTTTGAACTTGGGGGTAAGATGAACCTAGTTCCAAAATTTCATTCAATTCGGAGCACAGTAAAAAAATTTAGAGGTTATACCCTTTTTTCCTCTCCGTTTACTGCACTAGCAATATTATTCCATAGAACGTTATTTAATATAAACGATTTTGTATGTTTCCAATGGATTTAATCAGAAAAGTTATAGAAAAATAATATATTTGTGCTCAATGTTTGTTTTGTATTTCCCACAGGTGGTTTGCGATGGTAATCACATCATTGCAGTTAATTCAAATGATAGTGGGTTGTGCTATCAATATCTGGGCGCACGGTTTTCTACAGACGGCTGGTACCGGTGCTTGCCACATTAGCCCGATGAACATCAAGCTGTCCATTGCGATGTATTTCAGTTACTTCGTACTATTCGCGCGCTTCTTCTACAAAAGTTATCTGGGCGAAGGCGGCAAACATGCCGCAAAATCGCAATCCCTTCAGTCTCGGTCGGAGTACGAGCATAATAAACTCAAGGCCCACTAACCGTGCAAATGTAGACGCTGGGGCGTTTGAAATTGTATGGCTGATTATTTAGCGTGAATGAATATTGAGTGAATTATGTTGGTGCAACTATTGGGCTCAACAGAATATTTGAAAAATTCAAAATAGGAGAATTGGTTAATTGTTGACTAATATTAATACAACTATTTTCTCCGCGTGTTACATGAACCTCAGACAAAAAGTTTCGTGGACGTGTATTTTTATAATAAATTCATCCTTTTTGGTGTCACTACATGATTTGCCTTCAATATTTGCATACTATGTGGCTGAAATATCTAAATATTTCAAATTGCACAGTCAAATCGTATGAATACGCTACATTTTTTTCTTAAATTAACACTCAATAAAGAAGTATTTTATTCCTTATATAAATTTTTATGAAAAAGCCTTACAATCTTACCTGAATTCATTCATTATTAATAATTATTAAGTGGTAAAAAACAAGAAGGTTATAAGATAAGAACAAGACATTTCAAATATAGAATACTTATTAGGCTTAGAATGTATTTTTGATGAATAATAAATTATCAAGTTACACAAACATTGAAGATGAAAGCGTTTAAAATATGCGTCCCGTTGAAGCTTTCCGCAGAAACAATTGTTTCAAAAGTAGGAAATTGTATCTTACAAATTTTAAATATCTTTAAAATATGTCTGAGTTTTTCAAAACTGCCTGTGTTTATATTCATTTCCATAGTATAATCTTAAAGTTGCCAATTTGCCTAAAGTATGTTTTAAATAGAATAAAATTAATAATATATGTATCACATATATTAATATGTTCACAAAGATATAAAAGAAATGAAATGTGATTGAAGATTTCTAATCAACTAATGTAAGTTACTAAAAAGTATATGATGACAATATGCTTTGAAAATTATAAATTAGATGAAATTGATTTTTTTACAGACACAGCTTTGGCTAATTAAAAAATTTGAATAAATTGAAATATATTCTGATGTAGAAATTGGGAAAAATATGCTCATTTATTCTATACTATTTTTTTCTGATATGAATTCATTGGAACTTGATATTAAATTAATTACACAAATGATAAGAATCATAGCAGAATTTAGTCAACATAAGCATGCTTGCGACACCTTTTGAAATAAATTTTATTGTATAAAATTGTTTCATGGTTAGCCATGACTGGTACATCTGTGATTTTTGATAAATATCATCTCTTCCAAATGCTTGCCCTCCAAATGCTTTTTGATTGCATATTTGTCTTAGGTAATTAAAATTACATGAATTTGGAAAGATAAATATTAGTTGTATAACAAAGCTGGGACTTGTTACCAATTATTATATAAATACTTAATAAGTACTTAATTTTCATTTACAGCATTTTAAATATGGTTAAAGGTTGTGTTTCTTTTTCATAAATTTTTTATAACTTCAAAAGTTTTTATTTTAGTTTTTTGTTTAAATATATATATTTATTTAATTTGTTAGTCATATCGTTTAATGTAATATATGAACTTTATAGTAAATAAAATTATAAAGTAATGTATTTTTTTATATATTCCACTTTCATCTATATAGCATAATACTCACTATAGCATGAGAACACTAGAATCAAAACAGGTTTATGTAATACTCAATGAAGATTTTGTAAAAAAATAAGTTTAATTTTAATTTTCAACAATAATTTTAATACAAGGACAATGTCAAGGAATATACCCGATTGCATCAAAAGAACGCAAAAGTGCTTAATGATAATTATGAATAAGGCAATACTTAAAAGAGCACCTTGATTAAAATTCAAATGTCTACAAAATGACAATGAAACTCAAGGCATCACGGTTTTATTTTGTTTGATTAGCTCAAATTAAATTATTTTACAATTTTATTCTTGAATTAGAGACGCTACGCCTAGAGAAACTTTGTAAATTGTATGTGGCTTTATTATTGAAATAACAAATGCTAGTAACAATTAAAAAATTATATTAAAATTTTAACCATTTTAAAATATACAAGTATCTGACAAAATTATTTAAAATAGCAGCTGATACTGGATTTCCAATTAAGCGCACTAATAATATTGTATTAATAAAAGCTTAAGCAAATTTTAATATTTATCACATGCCCAATTTGACTTGAAAGTGCCACATAGTAATAATGTTATATTTCAAATATATTTCCAGTAACTCTTAATTTGTATACTGAAAAAAATTATTAATTTTTGTGTGAACTCTAACTTACATATTTCATATCTTTATAAAAATTATACAATACATTTAGTTATTCTGATTGTCTGAGTTTAGCCAATCTTTGGGTTAATTCTTCTTGCTCTTGCGAAGCTTGTGTGGATGCACCTATAGCAGTTGAGCCTATTCCTTGAGGCAGTTCCATATTTAATTCAAGGCTGTAAATGTCATGTATCATAGTTGATGTAAAAACAATCGCTAAGAATATAATTTAAACAATTTTTACTTACCCTGCCTCATCAGCTACTTGTTGCATAAGTTGGTCAACATCGCCTTGAGGAACTGTAGTTGTTGTTGTGGTAGACATAGCATTTTCCATGTAGCTACTTTGCACATCCAAATCTTCAAATTGAGATTCAAATTTATCCATAAGACCAGAGATCTTTTCCAAATTCATACCCTTCATTGCTGCATCCATAGCTTTCACAACACCAGCCATAGAATTAGTAACCTAATTTAAAAATTTTAAAATATTTAAAATATTAATGAATAAGAAAAATGAAAATAACATTTGTGCTTCAAAGGAAGAAAAAACGAATCTCTTATCATATTCCTCTTATTATATTCCAATATGTAACAATAATAACACATTTAAATTAAAAAGTACATCGACACAAAAAAGGGAAACACAAAAATCAAGTGCCAGGTATTAAGTATAGTGTTATTTTATGCTTATCAAACAAATTTGAATTGATAATCAATCTTGCATCGTTATATAAATACCTTTCTAGTAGTTAAGGCAGTTTGTACTCTACTAGCTACGGCATCAACTCTGGCACTCATGCGAAGATAATTCAATGCTTGATTTTTTTGTCGAATTGCATTTTCAGCATGTATTCTTGCTCCTTCCATATTGCCCTTCTGAATAGCTTTCTTTGTTTTTGCTTTCTCCACTTTTTCTTCTTTTTCGCATCTTTTTGAATTTCGTTCCAGTTCTTTTACAGCAAATTTTAAATTAAAGAGATGTTCTGATCATCATCAATGAAGAAAATATATAGTGATATAAATTTGACACCTGGTTAGAACTTTGCATGCATAGTATTCTGTATATAAAGTTAATTTGCAATTCTCTTCACATCACAGAACATATTATTATTACAAAATAGTATGGTATAAAATAAATTTACGTTAATGATTATTTAAAATATAAAACATTATATATTAGCATAATAAAAGCTATTAGGTCCAGAATTGAGTATATGCTCAAATAAACTGAAATGAAACTTTCTAGTTCAAATCAACATTGACACCCTTTCCTTACAATGTAGTCTAGAACCCAATCAAAGTTATGTTGGTGACATATTTAAAAAAAAAGTAATTTACAATGATTTTGAGCATTTGTAAAATATATATTTCATTTTATATTCTCTGCAAACATTATGCTTGCCGCTTATTCAAGTGTTATTTGATGAATCATTTCATCAGAACTATTATGACATGGGCAAAGATGTGATAAGTTACAAATATTATCTTGTTTCCAAGCAGGTTAAATATATTGTGTCATTCTAATAAAAAAATCAAGTCTAGTATTTGTTAATATATTAAACAAAAAGGATACTTTCCATGGCCGAGGCAGACATTTCGTTACCCGTGTTGAAGCCTTATTCTCAAAAATGTTATTAAATCTACCAAAGTACCAAATATTTTCAAAATAATTCTAATTACGTCCTATTATAATTTTTAACAAAAAATTTAATTTCTTATTTACAATTTATTTACAAATTCATCACAAGTATTTGACAGCGTGATGACAGCACTTTAATAATTATGATGTTGGTAGTCATTCATTCTTGTCAAAGAGCGATTTATCTATGAACGATATCATATATATATGCAGTAATAAATATATAAATAAATAAATATCAGATAAATAGATAGATATCAAATGTGTATATATATACATTTATTTATAATATATATATATATATATATATATATATATATATATACTTATATAATATAATATATATAACATTATTAATTATTTCCAAAACGAAGTAAAAATGATTCCATCAAAGATATTGTAACTATACCAAAACGCAGTGTGTAAACTTTTAATTGTAATATAAACATAATTAAAAGATATGTGATTATATTGTTAATAATTATTATATCTAAATTCTAAATTGTTTCTGTGTATGGAACCATGTATGCATACTATAAACTAATAAACACTCGTTAAAGTTAATATACTTTATTAATCTTTATTTTTAAATTTCATAATATTTATCAACCTTTATTTTTTATTTTATAGTTGGTACCACACATGAAATATTTTATGAGGTGAAGTTGCTTGAGGTAATACATATATCCGGAAGTGCGCCTTGTTCTGTGGTATCCGAGCGAATTATTCTTTGGAGTGACCGATCCGTGTAGTTTACGAGTCGCAGCCTTTCTGTATTTTGCTCTGTTCGAGAAGTGTTGAAACGCATGGGATGCGCATGGTATTGGAATAATTACGAGTTTTAGGTTAGCTGAATAATATTTTGTATTTTGTGAAAAATGGCAGCGGTAGACGATGCTTGTTTGTCCGCTTTAGTGTTAGAGTATTTGAACAAGAAAGACAAGAACTTAGCTAATGTGTTCCAGAAGAAAACCAATGCGGTGAGTTGTTCAGCCGATTCTTTTATTTACATTTGATTTGGATATGAACGTACAACAAAACGTTATCATGGCACGTTTTATATGCTAATTATGTATTTTAAGTTAATAAAGTAAGTTATTTCTGTTCTTACTTGTGAACAATTCCATGCTGTTTTTACATGTGAATTCGCTTGAAAACACGTGTTTTATTTTTATACTTGTTTAGTGAATGATTTATTTTTTTTAGCCTCCTCTACCAAAAGGATCACCTACAATCGCCGATGTTTTCACACATTACCAAAAGACATCGACGAAAAAAATCCCACCGCTAAAATTATCTTCGGTCGGTTCTTCTGACGAGAGCTCCTCTGAGGAAGATACGCCTCCCACAAAACCCGTGAAAGGCGTGAAGCCTATTTCTAATGGAATTACGAAGACAAAACCTGCCGCTAAAGAATCATCTTCAGATTCTAGCAGTGAAGAAGAAGCTAAACCAGCACAAAAGCCTCCTGCAAAATCTGCGCCAAAACCTGCTCCAAAAGAAGTGAAAAAAGATACTAGTGATAGCGATTCTGATTCTGACTCTGATGAACCCAAAGTTCAGACAAAGGCTACTGTACAAACTAAATCCCCCGCAAAACCAGTTAAGCAAGCACCGCCGAAAAAAGCAGAATCATCTAGTTCTGAATCTTCTTCTGAAGAAGAGGTCAAAAAACCAACCAAACCTGTACAAAAACCTGTTGCTAAGCCAAAAGAATCGAGTAGTGAAGAGTCTTCATCAGAAGAAGAAACCAAACCCCCTGCAAAGACAGCAGCAAAACCAGTGGCAAAACCTGTAACCAAACAGCCTGTAAAAACAACTCAATCAAGTTCTTCGTCTGAAGAAGAATCTAAGCCAAAGCAAGTTAAAACACCTGCTAAATCGGCTACAAAACCAGTTCCTGTAAAGTCTAAGAAAGAATCCAGTAGTGACGATAGTTCGAGTGAAGATGAAGCTCCCAAACCAAAAGCTCAA